TTTACAATGCCTTGGTAAGGCCACACTTGGAATACTGCATCCAGTTTTGGTCACCGCGATGTAAAAAAGATGTTGAGACTCTAGAAAGAGTACAGAGAAGAGCAACAAAGATGATTAGGGGACTGGAGGCTAAAGCATATAAGGAACGGCTGCTGGAATTGGGTATGTCTAGTTTAATGAAGAGAAGGACGAGGGGGGATATGATAGCAGTGTTCCAATATCTCAGGGGCTGCCATAAAGAAGAGGGAGTCAAGCTATTTTCCAAAGCGCCTGAAGGCAGGACGAGAAGCAATGGGTGGAAACTAATCAAGGAGAGAAGCAACCTAGAACTAAAGAGAAACTTCCTGACAGTGAGAACAATTAACCAGTGGAACAACCTGCCTCCAGAAGCGGTGAATGCTCCAACACTGGAAGTTTTTAAGAAGAGACTGGACAGCCATTTGTCCAAAATGGTGTAGGGTTTCCTGCCTGAGCAGGGGGTTGGACTAGATGACCTTCAAGGTTCCTTCCAACTTTACTATTATTATTAACTCCCAGAATTCCTCAGCCAGCAAAGCTGGCTGAGGAATTCTATGAGTTGAAGTCCACAAGTCTTAAAGTTGCCACGGTTGAAGACCCCTGTTCTACACCATTTAATTATCAGAACAGGACAGAGATCCATGAGTCAGATAACAGATCAGCTCAAGTGCGTTACTCTGCTGCAATTAATTTTACTTTTGATGGCTTCCAATTAATACCTGAAAATCATACTCAAAGCAAATATGATTGATCCTGGGATCTTCTCTATGCATAACGTAAGTTCCTTCCTATAGATAGAAGGCTGAGAGGAAGCATTTGAAAACATTTCAGAAGTAAAGCAGTGATAGTGAAAATTAAACCCTGGAGAGATAAGAACTGAAAGGAATCCTTAAGACTCAGTAGTGGAGCAATTGAATGGGGCAACAGGGTTTCTGATAGAACAACTTTTTAGTTGGCCAGCATTTTTTAAAAAAATAACATTGCCTGAATTATTGATGCTGATGTAAAATAATGGGTCCAATCCAAAGACATTTATTGGAGAAGAGTCACTTTATTGGTGAGATGAGTGACATATTAATCCAATAAATAAATATTAAACTACCATTATATTTTGCAGTCTAAAGATCTAGCAACATTTGGACAGCATTTATAAGAAGATCGGCAGATGAGGTTTTTTCTTGGATGGTACAGATTGATGTGAGTAGACGGCAAAATTGTACATAGAAAGTCTTGTTAACATGCATGACTAATGTTTCTTAGCAATGGGGAATAGAAATCATATCAACAAATAACAAGTGGATCGCCTGCAAAGATCTTTGGAAATTAAGATGAGGCTACAGGACTCCCTGCATTTTTTCTCTAATATAGTTTGAAATAAGTCAAGGGAAGAATTTCAACTCAAACTCTGGATTCTTAGGAAGTGGTTTTTAGAAGTCCTTCCCATCTTTAGAACACGACAAGGCTGCATATTTGGGTTTGTTTGACTGTATTTCTCCAAATACTGTAAATCTGGTCCAGAGCCAGTCCTTGCAACAAGATAGCCTGCTTCTAACAATGCTACTTTGGATAAAGAGGCAATTCTCCTTCTGCCTAAAACCAATCCATAGGTCCCACCTACAAACAGCAGCCTCCTTTCTTATTAGTAAGAACCAGCCTTACTGTTCATGCCAATCATTCTCCCCAACCAACTTGCCTGAAAGATGGTTCCTGCTCGTGGATCAATGATCCTTATTTTCCTGTCCCTGCAGACTGTGGCTAAGAGGCTGCCATCCGTGTTGAATGACATCGAGAGGATGACATCTGTATGGAAGCCGATTGTCTTCACTGGCATCTGAATTGTATGTTCTTTGGTGTCAAGGTTCCAGATCATGACCTTTGACAAAAGTACAGGGATCAGAGAATATTTTCTGAACGTTCCATCCACTGGGCAAACAGACTATAAAAGAACCATGCAGCAACTATGCCCCAAGTGTGATGCAGCAACAAATACTATCTCATTCAATGCAAGCCCACATCACTCTGTGGATCTACAGTAGAAGCTCAAGATCTGACACCATGGCTGAGTGGAGACGGATGAGAAAGGGAGTGCTTAAAATAATTGGAGCAAAAGTTTAATTCTATACTAGTGTAGGTAATCTGCATAGGCAATGTCCGAATCAAATCAAATCTTGAAAACGGTCACAGACCAGCATATAGACAGTGTCAATTTCTACGATATATCACAAATGCTGTGATTTCAAAGGAAAGAAATGACCCAAAGAATGGCTTTTTCTCTTACTTGCAATTTTTAGTTTGTCAGAGCATGCACAGTCTTATTGCACTGAGATAACCCAGGAATAAATACAGTAAACAGTGGTCTATATTAAATGGTGGTTTATCTTACTATCTACAATATCATACACCAGGAACAATATACATACACGTGTTAATACAGCAAACTGCAACACACAGCAGTTACAGCAGGAAACAGACGAGAGAGAGATACTCCAGCAAAAGCCGTCCCTTTTATACTCGGGCTCTTAAAGGGACACAGACCCTGCTGAATCATTCCTATCATTGCATCATTCACCTTACATTACATCAGCTCGTTAGCCTTTAAATCATTACCCTGACATAGTTCATAGATTTAGTTTGCAGATGTTGTAAGGAAGACTATTGTTTATTTAATTAGATTTTGGCACTGTCTGACTCCAAAAACACTTAGCATTCAAGATGTAAAGTGACTGGGTTAATTTTACCTGGCCAATTTACACTTTATCACCACTGAAGATTGAAATAAATAACTGGAATGGAATTCTTCTACTGTGGCATATATGCTCCTTCTCCTCCATCCCCCAAGTTTCCTTCACAAGACTCTCATGAAGAAGCCTAGCAGTGTTTCAGGGTTGAAATGAATGCTCCTAAGGTCTCAACTCACTTTGTAATCATAACCAGTGCTGAAGAGGATGTTACTTGCAGTTGGGTGCCATTCGATAAGCCCCACTCTTCTGGAATGGCCAAGAAGGTCCTTCTGGGCATCTATGATGCTTTTTGTTAGCAAGTGCTGGGGGATATTCCAGACCTTAACCTACGAGACAGAAGGCTCCATTAACCCAGATTATCTCATTCAATGCAGCAGCATTCAAGAGCAATAGCATGAAAGACCAATATTAATCAACTGCTAAGCCTGCAGAAATGGAAAGATGATTAGCAAGGAAGGGAAGGGGACAGGAGACATTCTTGTGCCTCCCCACCTTCATCCTGTCTGAGTCCTTTGACTGTTATTTCATGTTCAACTACACACAGGATTACCAATATGAAAAGGAGAAGGGTTCCTCTGCACAGCAGAAGGTAGCATTGGCATCCATCAAAATGAAAGAGGGCACTTATTTACTCTTAGTCCCTGCATTTCTGGGTGGATGGGAGAGAGAACATGTATCATACATGTTTTCATTCCCAAAAGAAATAGTCTCTTCACTCGCAGTTCTTTTTTCCAAAGCATGTCATTTAGCCACTCAACAACCAGAAGCGACAGAGTACACAAAGACATCAGTCTCGCTCAAGGGCACCTATGAACCTGATTTGCAAACTTCTAAATCCAAAACTAGAACGTTACTTGGGGAGTTTACAGCTCTCTTTTGAAAGCTCTTGAAAAAAATGACAATGTTAGAACCAATGCAGGTGTGACATGGTTCAATCTGTTAACCATCTGCAGCATTAAGATGGAGAATCTGGCACATGGATCCTGCACCATTTCATTTTCAGAGTTAAAAGTGATAACAGGGGCATCTGTGGGGGTGGAATACGGAGGCAAATGGTGAATTGCAATGTAAGGTTTGTCCCTTTTGAACATGCAATATGACATCACACACACATATGCAGGGGCAGAGCTTGCACTGCAATGTCACAATACTCATTGGACATCCTACCCAAACTTTTAGGAGTCCATGGATGCTGCTAAGTGATAATTTGTCCTAGGAACATCTGGTTAGGTTAACTCCACAGTTTACAACCCTGGTTAAAAATCCATGGGTATGACAGAGACTGAGCTATCCAACTGTAAAGACATAACTAAATGTAATAACAAACAAGAAAAGGACATTTGAGAGGTTGTACTCCTGATTTTGTTCATTAAGAAATGAGGCTGTATTGTGCCTGATTCAGGCAAAGGTTCATAACTCTGACTTACTGTGGTATCTTCCGAACATGATGCTATTACAAAGTCATCAAAAGGGTTCCATTTGATGTCTAATACATTTCCTTTATGCCCACAGATGCGAGGGTAATGTGGGTCAAGTTTTCCTGTCTAAAAACAAATGGAAAAGTTTAATTCTACAATGAGAAGCTCTCTGAAAAGGCTTACTTATTATTATTGTTGTTGCTGTTGTTGTTGTTAAAACTTCTATCTATCTATTATAAAAGGCCACACTGCTTGGATCCACACATGTACAAACAGATATATTATGACATCCTATGTTCTTGGGAAGAACCTAATGCCTTCGAAGGCAAAAGCCAGCTGAAGAGCTAGCAAGTATGATTTCCCATTGTTGTGTATATAATAACAATAATACTAATACAATAAAGCTGAACTTTCCATAGCATGCATGTTTGTGGTCTCCATTGCTTGGATCAAAAGCTGCCTGATTTTTAATTTGTCTTCCCTTTATTTAAATATCAAATGCTTTATTTTCTAATACATAATTCATCTTAGCGTTACCAATCATATATGTGCTTGGTCAAATAGTTCTTGGTTAACAACTATTGGTTTAACAACCATTCAAAGTTACAAAGACACTGAAAAGGGAGATAGATAGCTCTCTTGTTACAAAGAGAAGCTTCTATTTATAGCACCTGGGAGAGAGTCTTGTCTTGTCTTGTACCCAGGCCATGAAATATACTCTTTTGGATATGCATCTGGACCCTACTGTTGCAGGGCTTAGAAAATCTGCAAAGATGCATCTGGGTCCCCAGGTTTTTAATCAGGTATTTTTAGTCTTATAAAATGATTGGTATAACTAATTAAAAGTGAGGCTTAAAATTCTTTTTGGTACCGATAATTTTATTTTTCATTTAAAACGGTTTATGTTTTGTTTTCATATTTTGGTCACCACCTTAAAAGTGCTTGCCAAAGCAGAAAATTAAGGTATATATAATGTAAGGAAATAAGAAGAAAAAATAATAGCTTCAGTGTAAACATAACACACAGGGAACATAGGACGAGCCCTTTATCGAACTGTGGCAGAGCCAGGCCAATATGGAGTCGTACAGATGTAACAGCATAGATTAGAGGAAGGGAGGGGGGGGCAGAAGCAAAAAGCAAACTCTGCATGTCTTATGCTAGCTTCCTTACAGTTCATGGTAATTAAAGGAGTCATTCCCCAAGAGGAGGCTGTGAGAGGAATACTAGCACACTGTAAAACAAATTAATTATATAATGCAAGGCTGCCATCTAGCCAAGTCAATTCCAATTAAGTCTCTATCATAACCTCAGCACTAAAGGCTAGAGCTATATGCAAACTTTATGCCTCTTTTTTTGAGTTATTTATGCAGAACACACACAGGTTGTGTCATATTTATTTATTTATTTATATTGGATTTTTATCCCACCTTTATCACATTATAAGTCACTCAAGGCAGCAAACATAGGTAATACTCCTTCCTTTCTCTTTCTATTTTCGCCACAACAATAAACCTGTGAGGTGAAGTTCCACTAAATGCTGCCCAAACATGTCCCAGGGACAGTTTTGTTCTGTTATATCTTTATGATGTTGCCTTTGTCTTATTCCAGCCTTTACCTGAGGCAGCTTAAACTCGGAATGGGACAACTCGCTCCGGACGGCTAGCCGAGGCCGACTTACCCCGCTCTGGCAGGCTAGCCCCATGGCCAACTTGCTATGACCAACTCACCAGGGGGCCATCTCGCCAAGGGACAATTCAATGCAGGATAACTCAAGAGAGAGAGAAGTGAATTGCAGCAGGCCTTGTCTTGCTTTAGGTTTGAATGTTATCAAGTTAGAAGTCCTCAAGGCTAGGGTAAACCAGACCATGGAGCCCCAGGGGTCCAGCAGTCAAGGCATGCGCTAAGTCGGCCAAGCCATGGAGCAAGAATGGTACACCTAGGTAGTCTGTGTGGATCCAGGCCGAGGGTGTGGTTGTTTGTGAGAGGGGGCCTGCCGCCAATGCTGTTTCTGCCTGGTGCATCTGGTGAAAGGGCTAGCCACTCTGCTGAAATACAGGTACACAGGGCTGGAAGGGGAAGCGATGGGCTTGGGGTTTTTTGGTAGCTTCGTTTTAAAAGGGTCACAGATTCTTCTGGGGCTATTTACTCAGTCAGAAAGAATTGCTAATCAGTCCAGTGGCATTTTCCTGGCCGGTTCATGAAGGATTCCTTGGGGATTCCTGGGATCAGCCCGTCGCTTCTTTTTTCGTCTTCCCCGGTGGATCTGATTTTTCTCTCCCCCATGGCCCCTTTCTCCCCTCTCTCGATTTTTGTTACCCACCAAGAAGCTTAAGTCAAAGCCACAGAATACAGAATGGGAAACATTTCCTGCTTTGTTCCTTTGAAAAAGAAAAAAGACTCTGCTACATGCTGCACCCCTCTTTATTTTACTCGAGTACAAACAGCTATTTTACTGTAAGCTACATATCTGTCTTGGTTTGGGTGAATCAAATTGTGCGCGTATGCACACACACCTTTGAGTCAGTGTGGATTCACGATGAGTGGCAAGACAAGTCCCTGCAGTTTCCTTGGTAAGATTTTCAAAAGTAATTTGCCATTGTCTCCTTCTTAGGGCTGAGAGAGAATGAATGGCCCAAAGTCAACCAGCTGGCTTTGTGTCTAAAGTCGGATTAGAACTCACAGTCTCGGTTTCCAACTTGGTGTCTTAACCACTAAACCAAACAGTGATCTACATTCTAAACCAATGCTGTTTGGCTTCCTTTCTGACAAACAGTAATTTGAAATGGTCATTAAATAATGGTTGTAAGTAAAAACAACTACCTGTAAATGAACCCACTGTTTGTGTATCAACTCATGGAGTTACTGGAAGCAATATTGCTATTTTTCAAGTCACCATTCAGGGCAAAAACAAAGCCCTCCTTGAAAGCGAGTTACCAATTTGGGCTTTATCAACATTTGGCCTCATATATGTCTTTATCCACCCCATTCACACGCACATTGATAAGCCAATTATATAGGACAGGCTTTGGAGGTACCTACGTGGCTGATTGGTATAACAACAAAGGCTCCTCCACCTGCACATTCTGTCACCACGGCAATAAAACGAGGATTGACAGCACAAAACTGGTTGTCGTAGACACTCTGGGTGATGGGCACGTTGTCATAGCAGTTCTCCTTACTGGCGGCCTTGCCATAAACGTGGCGGAATTTAGAACTCCGGTACTGAGGATTCCATGACATCTGCAAGGCAGAAAGAGAATACAAGCATGAAGCTTAAAGACTCTTGAATTTTCCATATTCTTGCCAGAGGTCTCCAAACTTGGCTGAGGAATTCTGGGAGTTGAAGCCCACAAATCTTAAAGTTGCCAAGTTCGGAGATCCCTGCTCTTGATCTACAGTTAAAGTTAACTTCCAACTATTGCTGTGGAAGTTCTGGCAAATTTGAGACCGCCTAAGGGGAGCTTGACTGCATGGAATATCCTACAAATGGCACTGGCTGAGCTGGACTAGTTTCCCAATCGTTAATCAATAAGGTCACTTAATGTAAGATCTTGGGAAAGATTCATGAGGAAGATCTCCCTAAGAAACCCAGAACCTTTTAGTATTGAAAAGTCATTGATGAAATATTAATCCAGGGGTCTTCAAACTTGGCCCTTTTATGACTTGTGGACTTCAACTCCCAGAATTCCTCAGCCAGCGTGCCTGGCTGAAGAATTCTGGGAGTTGACGTCCACGAGTCATAAAAGGGGCAAGTTTGAAGACCCCTGGATTAATCTGTGCTTTTGACAAGACAATTTTAATGTGAAGATCTTTTTTATGCAGCCAATACCAATCAACCCTCGGGCAGCTGTATTAGAAACAACTGAATTGCTCAACAGGCACCATGCCAAAGAGTCCCATATATCTCACATTTATTTTGACCCAGTTTGTTGAGCAAGTCACAGTGGCCTGGTCCATAAGCCATCGACTGTGGCTTATAAATCTGTTTTGTAGTTGGATTCAGCCACTGTATAATAGCAAAATCAAACAAATCGTATGACAGATTACTGCCTTGTGTGAATTCAGGAACATATAATGCTGCAAAAACAAACCAGGAAGCTGCAAAGAATGTTAAGGTTGCTGCCAGATCCTGGGGGGCAGGGAGGAGAGGCAATACTGTATGGTAGGAATACATACCACAATATCTTGCTATTATTTATTATTTATTTATTTAAAATATCAAAGCATACTGGGACTTGAAAAGGCCAAGTCCTGTATGAAGCACAGCTTCAGGCTAAATTCTAACATCCTTTTAAATCCATTTTTTTAATATACTATAACTGGTAATGCCCTAGGTGATTTATTTACAGATTGTTTTAAAAAAGAGGGAAAGAATTAACTCAGCAATCAGATTTCCTGGTACTAAAAGGAGAAGAGATGATTATCTCTCTTTAAAGACATAGGTTATTGGCTCCAGGATATGTTGACATAGTTCCCTTCATTAATTCAGCACATATTTTTCGTAGGTTTACACTCCCAAGGTTTGTAAGAATGCATTATGTTTTCTATATAAGGTTTCACCAATTACTTTCAACTATGAAGCACTAAAAGAAAAAGAAAAAATACCCTTAAGTTCAGCTTGACTCCATGTGATTATTTATTTTATTTACTTCTTTATCCTACTTCTATGCCATCCATCACACTTGTGTGACTCTGGGTGATTTACAGATAGATTACAATGAGACATCCATGCCACCTTTCAGCAATGGTTTGGAACAATCTTCTGACATGCTTTTACTGACTCCCCATAACCTTGCAATTCCCTTGTACTCTCCATTTCAAATAACTAATTAAGATCAACCTTACTTAGCTTCTTCAGGCATAAATCCTACAGATTTCAGCAGTTTTCCAAATCCCAATGATTAGAATACAAATAATCTTGTAATTAAGGTTTATTGGATCTTATTCATAAAGCTACTATAGAAATTCCAGACACTTTCCTTTTTAAAAGTTATTTCCAATAGCACTTAAAGCAACCCTTCCTCTTGTATTAAATCAATACCAAACCCTATATTTTAACGACCTACCTTCAGATTTCTGATGTGAACTGATATCCCTTCCCCATACTTGTTATTTCACCACCTCAACACATCATCTATGCTAGAAAAAAAAACTTGTAAGTAGCTACGTGTTCACAGAGTCACCTCCAGGACATGTTTAAAAAAAATACCTTCAAGCTATTAGTACTCAATGTATGACAAATGGAAATAGGCAAGCATAGCTAGACTGACAACTGCCTTTATTTCTTTGCTTCTTTTTTTGGGATATTAGCACCATTTATGAATTTTTCTAGCACATTGTAACTGGGAGGACATTGTCATGGAAAGCAGGACAGTCTGGGAATGACACGGGATCCTGTGTCCATCCTTTGTAGCAGAAGAATAAGGCTTCCTTCTTCTGCCCATCAGTGCACCATCCTCAGGGCATCTTAATAACCATCAAAGACAAGACTTTCATTCAAGATGTTCATTTCCCCTGGTTTCCCAAGACACAGAGCGGTTAATAAAAACACACATGACAGTCATGCTGGCCTATCCCAACCACCATATGTTTGTCATCAGGTTGAAGATGGTCTTGTATGAGCTGGGAAATAAATCTGGGAAGTTCACTCTTCCTGCATTCGCTCAAATGGACCTTCGCCCTTTAAAGCTGTTCACTAATTGCTTCTTCTTCTTCTTTTTTTTGCACAACGGGCAACAGAAATGGGAAAAGGCGCATTACAGATTTACATGTCAAAACTGCCAAGAGAAAATTATGTTCAGGTTGCTCTTTCCATCCTTTCTGCTCAACCTTTCTTCTGCTGCTTCATCACTGTTATCATCATAACAGTAGTAGAAATTTGAAGGTGTGGAGGTGTCTTTTCGATCTGCACAAAAAACCCATCCAACCCATTCAACCCAATCATGGTAGGTTAACAAAGACCAAAAAGTTTGGTTTTGGTTTTCCAATATGAGAGTTACAAATGAGGCAGATGTTTAGCACATCACAAAGCATAATAACTGGAGGAAGTGGGGAAGGGAGAGCCTATTCTGAACTGCTGTCTTCTAAAGTCTAACAGCAACATAGAGAAATGCTTGTAGCATAGAGAACAGTTATTAAATACAGGAAATTGCCAGTCAAGCCAGGGTTGCAAATAATAGCAGGCAAGTGAAGAGAAAGAGTGATTTCTACCTATACTTTCAATGTGAATCTGTGTGTAGACATGTTGGCCTATCTATCTGTCTGTCCACACAGGGCATTTTTTATATCTCTAACTGCACCTTTATTGGCTAATAGTTGGTAAAGTTTCTTCATGCAATGTTGCCAGTCAGTGAGCACACCCTACCTGCTAAGTGTGTAACAACCTGTTTTATTCCTTGGCAACTCTGGGTAAGTCAGTAGAAAACCTCCAAACTTCTCATTTTCCTGGAGAGCTGCCATATACAACTGCAGGTCTAATTTGACAGGTCACAAGTTGAATAAGCCAACATTAGGCTGATGCGACTACATATCTCCAGAATCATAACAAAAACAGTACCTGGCAAGGATGCTTACCTTTCACTGACTTGATCTCAGCTCACAATCACTTTAATCTTTCTACCGCCTGCATAGGTTGCATTCTGCCACCCTCATGAAAGCAAAAATGCGGGGTGGTTCAAAAAACAAAACAAATGAAGCAATGAAAACAATCCTGACAGAAATGAGTCAGCCATGCCCACTGGCTACACACGTATCCTCTCAGCCTGTGCCTCCATCCACTATGTCCAAAGCAAACAAATTACTGAAGCTGAAACTTCATTTGTTGGGGTGTGGCCAGAGCTGCCTCCTTACCATCAGCTGAATAAACTCATTTTGCAGTCTTGGCATGTCTACCTGTGACCTCAGGGTATCGATGACCTACCCTGTTTGATTAACCTTCTTGAGGGCAGCAGCCAAAGTCCAAATGTATCTCCAAGGGCTTTTATTAAACAGATTTCTCTTTATGACAGGCACATGCTAATGCTAAACCACTTTCTTCTTCATTATATTCTTCTTTCTCCATCATTCTCTCTCTTTCTCTTCCAGTACAGCCCTAGGTAAAAGCAGAAGGTGGATCAAATTACAAGGTGGACAAAAAACCAGCTGAGTTCTTGAGGCTGTATCTTTGTTTCACAGTACATCACAACATAACAGAATAACAGAGTTGGAAGGGACCTTGGAGATCTAGTCCAACCCCCTGCTCAGGCAGGGGGACAGATTACTGTCCAATCTCTTCTTAAAGACTTCCAGTGTTGGAGCATTCACAACTTCTGGAGGTAGATTGTTCCACTGGTTAATTGTTCTAAATTTCTCCTTAGTTCTAGGTTGCTTCTCTGCTTAATTAATTTCCACCCATTGCTTCTTGTTCTGCCTTCGGTTGCTTTGGAGAATAGCTTGACTCCTCTTCTTTATGACAACTCTTGAGATATTGGAACACTGCTATCATGTCATCCCTAGTCCTTCATTAAACTAGACATACCCATTTCCACCAACCGTTCTTTATGTTTTAGCCTCCAGTCCCCTAATCATCTTCGTTGCTTTTCTCTGTAGTCTTTCTAGAGTCTCAACATCTTTTTTACATCGTGGTGACCAAAACTGGATGCAGTATTCCAAGGCATTATAAAGAGGTATTAACACTTCACGTGATCTTGACTCTATTCCTAAATATACCCATATGCTTAAAGTCTCAGAAGACACTTTGGATTCTCCTGCATTACTAGACTTAGAGGTCAAAACACAGCTAACAAATTAAATTCTGGAGCATTCCAGAATATATTTTGAACTAAAAGACACATACTATATGAAATAAAGTTATGTGACCTATTAAAACACAATTCAAGACTGTCAACTAGGTGTCTTACCAGAAATTCTCCACAGCTCCTATTTCCTTTGACGTATTGCTCTTCAAACTAGCAGGGCATTGAAATATACAAATTAGCAAGTACCCAATTGAAGCAGGGCTGTGTTCAGAGAGGGCAGGGGTGGACAATTAATTTTCTCAAGGAGACACATGAGAAACTGGGACTATTGTGGAGAGTCGAACCCTAGGATTATAATGGTGTATAGGCACTCATGCATGCACATAGGTAAATTGGAAAAAAACCAGGCGCCTTCAAAATAAAAGCAATGCAATTGTATTATGTGTATGATGTATATTTATTTACATTTGATTTCTAATTTCTAATTGATCTCAGTTAGGCTGG